TTGGATTAGGGATGTAGAATATGGTCATGCAGAATATGTGCTTTATAAGTACTAATGAACAGCCAATATGTTAATAATAGACATCCTAATAAGCAACTAGTTAATAGTGAGAATTGGTCCTTATACTAAAATGTTACCCTTGGGTTTTTACTGTGTTTTTAATCGACTGACCCCAAACTGAATGGGCATGTATACTTTCCACTATCCGCTACCAAGTATGTCCAGTAAACCATGGGAAATATTCTGGCTATATAATTCCACCAGTAAATAAAGTAAAAGATGATCACTTTTTAATAAGGTGTTGTCACAGTTATGTGGCCAGTAATGACTTACAAAAATCTTACGAAAATGAATAGTGGCACAAAATGAATATTTAATAACAGGACATATTCTAAATCTCTATGTGAGTACGTTTACATGGACAACAATATTCCAATTTTAATACTCTGATTAAGAATCTACCATGTAAACAGAGATTTTTGAATACCTTAATCCGGCTAAAGTCATATTCGAAGTAAACCGAAATCGAATTAAGACATGTGGAGTATTCCTATTTTAGTAGCTTTATTGAAGTGCATTATAGACATGTAAACACCTTAATCAAATTATTACCGTCGTGTAGGACTTTTCGCCGCATTTTGCGACAGGATACACACACGGCAGTGTCAACCGTTTGACGCAAAAAATTAAAAATGAAACACCCAAAACTGTATATGGCATCATCACGAAGACGAACTATATGTTTATGCGTGAAATTCCGGAGGGGACGTCGGATGGTGTCACGTGGGGATGTAATGACGTGCGCCATTAATCGAACTATGTACTATAACATGTAAAACGGGAACATGAATATTCTAAAAGCAACTCATGTAAACACCATAATCATAATATTGGCTTATTTAGAATAAGGTAAATAATTAGATTACAAATGTCCATGTAAACGTAGTCTATGATGCTTACCTTGAGTTTTTTACAGGGCACAGAATCCCAGTCTACTGACTTAAACCATCTGTGCTTCTTCACATCATCAGCTCCATTCTGGAATAAGACAAAAATAATACACAAGATGATAGATTACTATAACTAAATGAACATAAATGTAGAATGGTGTCTTACATTTTGAGACAAACCGCCACAGTAAGAATAAAAACCTCATTTGACCTTGTACATGACACTTCTCATTTGACCCCAAACAGTCTTTTCAGTCACTGTACTGTCTGTTTTAGTTTCTTAGAGAGGGAAAAGAAAAGTGGGACAACTATGCTAACCTACTGAGGTCTTCTAGAAACCTCAGAATTTGGGCCATGCATTGCACTGTGGGACCATTACAGATACACTTTCACTCAAGTGGAATAACAGATATCAGCACTTGTGAATGAGCGCTGCCAGCAGGACCTGGCCTTGCTGTGGAAACAGTGCAAACACAGCTGTGATTAGGCTGCCGGGTCTTAAACTCTCATTGTATGTAGTCAGAGGAGAAAAAGCAAAAGAAAGAAAGTGCTAAATCAACAACAGAAGCATCTAGCCTGGGAAGTCCACCCAAAGTGACATTTCTTTTGAAAAAGCTTTTCTATCTTTGTCACTTACTCTGAATCTGGTTTGATGACAAAAAGGAATAAACCCCAAACAAACAGAACAGCGAGATACATATTTCAGCAGAGCTCATTCCTCACGTGTGGAGAATTATAATAACGGCATTAACTGAAGCTAATGGGAAAATGACGCTCAGACGCAACCATTCACAAACTTCCCATGACATCACCGTCACAATATGCATCACATCACGCATGACAGGGCTAGCGCACTGCTGCCACTTCATCTGGCGCCAGTTACTGAATTATTTCCTCTGAAAGGACAATTTAGAAAAGTAAATGCCATTATTTTTTTGAATTACTATAACTGGCGATGCAGAAACATTTTGCACAAGAACTCTGTCTGTAGTTCTTTCCCCAGTATCCACCTCGTCTGATGGGGGTTAGAAGGGGGTATACTGGGAGAGTTGCCCGGTGTCAGAATCACTCTCTGAATGTCCAGGGAGTTTCTCCAGAGCCTCATCTCATCCCCTCTAGGCAGATAGGAAGCCTTCTTATCGTAACTGGAAACATATGTGGCATACTGTGGCTTTTGGGAGAAAGATCTCGCAAGACTCAATCAAGGTCTTCTTATTTGCCACGTGCAGCTTTATTAAGATGCAAAGCTGGACTAGAAACAGAGTTTATTATGTTAGATGATTCATAGATGGCCTTGAATTTGATATGACTATAAAAAAGACATATAGCCATACAGCGTTCTCAGAGGAAATATCCTTTGCTCAACCATACAAGAAGAACCATATAAAATATCTGTCACCAGCATCTTGCTTACCTTCATGTTTCCAAGCCTTCTTGCCCGATCAATCACCAGAAACTTCTTGATTAGGTCCCTAGATAAACAAAGACAAGATGAGAACCAATATGCTAAAATGCACCTGATTTAGACATTAAATTATTTTAATAAACACAAGAAAATTAAGACGGTCAATTTCATGAAGGCAGGCATTAAGAGTAGGGATGCACCAATATTGAAATTGTGGGTGATTCAAATAAATCAATAATTATTTGAATGTTATGGTTAATAACCAATAAATGGCTGATACTAAAAATCTCTATGGTTTCGTTAAAATAAAATTAAATGACACAAATATTTTTGTTTGTATGCTGCAAGTGAATTTGGGAATCACAGCATTATAAAATCTGCTCTTTAAAATAAGTATACAAATATGAGTCCTGAAAAAGTAACATAGTTAACAGTTAATACATAAATAATTTCCAAAAGTAACATGATTTTTTAAAGAAAAAAAGGTTAAAGCTTCACTATAATGCATAGCTATAATTTTGTGCTAGATGTTGATAAACATAAATCTAAAACCTTTAAGTATATTTCTGGAATCAAATACATACAGTGGGGGAAATATTTATTTGATCCCCTGCTGATTTTGGAAGTTTGCCCATTTACAAAGAAATTAAGGGTCTGTAATTTTTATGGTAGTTTTTTTTTAATGGATAGAGACTGAATAGCAACCAAAAAAAATCATTATATTATATATAAAATTAAACATTATTATATTGTATTATATATAAAATATAAAGGTTAGAGATTGATTTGCATTTCAGTGAGTGAAATAAGTATTTGATCCC